ACGTTTTTGTTGATTATGTGGTTGTTTATATTTTGTCGTTGTTAATGTTCGTATTTGTGTGTGGTTAATGTTTGTATTGTTGTTGTTGTTGTTTGTAATGTTGTTGTTGCTGCTGCTGATGTTTACGTTCATGAGTTGTTTATGTTGTTGTTGTTGTGGATGTTGTTGATATTGTTGATGATGTTGTTGTTGTTGTTGTTGTTATTGTGGATGTTGTTGCTGTGGATGTTTTTGTTGTTGTTGTTGTGGATGTTGTTTTTGTTGGAGATGTTGTTGTTGTTGTTGTGGATGTTGTTGTTGTTGTTTATATTGTTGTTGAAAGACCAACGTGTCAAGGAAGAGACAGGACATTAAGTCTCACAGACTTGGATTTATAATCTTTCATTCGGATCTCCTGGCCAACAACAACAACAACAACTGGCTACTGTGTATGCGTTTGTTTGTAGGTGCGTGTGTGTGTTTGTATCTGCGTGTATGTGTGTGGGTCTGTGTGTGTGTGTTTTTTAATGTGTGTGCGCGCGCGCATGTGTGTGTGTGTGGAGTTTTCATTCACCTTAAAGAGTTTGTCAATTTGTTTTTTGTACCTCTTTGCTTTCTAAATGAAAGATTTGTTTGCTTGTTTGTGTGTGCGTTTGCATGTGTCTCTGTGTGGTTGTAGTAGTAGCAGCTACAGCTGTAGTAGTAGTGGTAATAGTAGCAGCAACAGTAGTAGTAGTAGTAGTAGTAGTAGTAGTAGCAGCAGCAGCAGTAGCAGGCAAGCGGCCAGCGAAGCGTGAAATGATGCAAGTACTGCATAATAAGAGGATTTATACTGGGACTATTTGGTCATGTCATATTTCATAGCATCTCCACTCTTTATATTTTTCACTATCTCTCTCTCTCTCACTACTCTCTCTCTCTTTCTCTCTTTCTTTTTTTCCTTCTCGCTTTGTTCTCTCCCTTTCTACTTAATTCTTTGTTTGTCAGTCTATCATTTAACAATCTTATCTTTTTTAATTATATTTTTTGCGTTAATGTCATTAAAGTTTTTTCTGCTTATACTCATTTTTTCAATTTCTCTCTTTCTCTCTCTTCACTTATTTTTTACTCTCTTAATTTTTCTAAGTCTTCTTCTTTTCTTTTATTTCCTATCATTCTCTCTCTTTTTCATTTTTTATTCATTTCTTTCTTCTCTAGCTTTTTCATAAGTTTCTTTTTCTCTATCAGACTATTTTTTCTTCTTTTCTCCCTCTTTCTCTCTCCCTCCCTCTCTCTCTTTTTTTTATCTTTCTCTCTCTTTTTTTCTCTCTCATTTTTATTCTATCTTTCCGTCATTTTGTAAGTCTCAGGAGTGTGTTTTCGCATAAGAAGTCATTCCTGATGGTTAGAATGATGATGACTCTGGTTGGTGGCGGTGGTGATGATGATGTTGCCGCTACTTCTGCTTCTGCTGCAGCTGCTAATGATGATGATGATGACAGTAACGATGATGTTGATGTCGGTGATGATGATGCATGTTTATTTAGGAAGACGATAACGAACGTAATATTAACTTTTTAAGCAACTAACAATAAACAAACAACAACAACAACAACAACATCAACAGAGATTTGCAATATCATCAACAACAACAACATCAACAACAGCAACAACAGCAACAATATCAACAACATCAACAACAGCAACAACAACATTAACAACAACAACATCAACAATATCAACAACAACAACATCAACAACAACAACAATAACATTGACGACGAAAACAGATAACTAACAATAAACAAACAACAACAGCAACAACATCAACAGAAATTTGCAATATCATCAACAACAACAACATCAACAACAGCAACAATATCAACAACATCAACAACAGCAACAACAACATTAACAACAACAACATCAACAATATCAACAACAACAACATCAACAACAACAATAACATTGACGACGAAAACAGATAAGATAGGTGGTATAGAGCGGAATAACGTGAAAATAAATGGTCTACAGGCTTGCTCATGAATACAGCATTAGACTTAACATGTATGTACGTGTGTGTGTTTGTGTGAATGTATGTATGGGTGTTTTTATGTATAAGGAAGATGATTTTATTCACTTGTTATGTTCTTCAGAGCATTTTAATTTATGAAAGTAAAACCTAACTTATACAACCTATACACACACATACACACTCAAACACATACACACTAAAACACACACCTACACAAACCTACGTACACACACACCTACACACAAACCTACACACACACACATCTGCAAACGTACACACAGACGTTTTACGGGTGAACAAATGTCAAAAAAGATGATGACCTCACGACTCACTGTATTATCGCCTCGCCCTCTCTCTCTCTCTCTCTTTCTTCCTCTTTCTTTCTTTCTCTCTTTCTTTCTTCCTCTTTCTCTCTCTCTCTCTCTCTCTTGCTTATCACTCCCACTTCTCTCTGTATCTTCTTCATTCTCTTTTCTGATTTTAAAAAATTGATTGATGGATGTTATTACAGCTACCGCTAGTGAGATAGTGTGGGGTTTTGAATACATACAAGCACAAACAGACAAACACACAGACAGACATACAGACAAACACAAATACACACATATATACACACAGATACTCAGACACACACACACACAGACAAACACAAACACACACATACATACACATGCATACAAAATTGCAAGATTTATACACTTAAACAGATTCTTAATCTACCTTTTTTTTCTTCTTCAATTTTTTTTACTTCTACATTCAAACACGCGATCCCACTTGAAAAAAATTTACGATACGGAATAAATAAATAAAAAAAAAATAATAATGAAATAATAAAAATAATAAATAATAATATATAAGAATAATAATATATAAAAATAATATAATAATTATTTTTTGAAAAATCCTAACACAATAAAGCCGAGTCTATAATGCTCTTACTGATCTTGCAACACGAAATTCGATAAATAAAAAAATCGCCCGTCCTAACACCGCGTAACCTTTCGCTACTACTACTACTACTGCTGCTACTACTACTACTACTAATGTTGCTACTATTACTTCTACTGTTGCTACTACTACTTCTACCACTATTACTACTACTGCTACTACTACTGCTGCTACTACTACTATTACTTTTTTACTACTACTAAGTACTACTACTAAAATTACTTTACTACTAATACACAAGGTTGTTAATAATACCCAAAAATTGTATGCCTAATTTCAATATCAATACCAGCTGATGCTCATTATTGAAAGTATCGCCAGTAGGACCACTACCAGAACTTTGTATATTTCAACAGGCATCACGTGAAGTAGAACAATTATTTCATTCATAACAATGCATTCGGTAGTTAATTACCTACCATGAAGGTGATTTCGTTTGGATAAATTGTTGGAATCATCAAATTTGAAGCAGGATGAAATGAGTATTCGTGTGCAGATTCGTGTCGGATTTGAAGGTCTGGCTGCTGCCCGACAACAGAGAAGCAAGGGCTCCTACTTTTTTCAAACTGAAAAGTACTGTTTACCGTCATGTCTTTCATAAATTCATTGCCTACAAATGAAATTACACCAGCAAAAATTACAGCGCAAATAGTTTAATTTTATAAATCAATTGACTTTTAAAAAAATGAAAACATTCCTTAATAATAAGATAAGAAATTTGTTTTGAGTTTTCTTAAGCCACAAAACCTGTGACGACAAAACGTGTTCTTCAAAGCACACAAGCAAGACAGCAGCACCAAATTTACCATTTAATAAACACGCTATACTTTGAAAATTGAAATGATCTTTAGAAGAAATACTCGATAGTCATAAGTATTGGCATAGAGTACTGATACTTTTTTCCATCTGAAAACTATCTGTGGTATCAAGTTCGATACTCCTCATCAAAAGTATCCTGGATACTACAGCCAGTTCCGAAGTACACATACAGAACAAACACGCACACATACACACACAGATATGAACACACATACAAAAAAAAGAGTTTCTAAATAGAGATTTTCCACTTATAACGGAATACACGATGGCACATTCATACACACACATATTGCCTCTCAGGACCATTTGCATTGCTTCTTATAAATTCATTTATGCTGCTTTGTGTTGAATGTGTGCGCTTGTGTTCGTGTCTGTTTGCTTGTTTTTGTGTGTGTGAGTGTGTGTGTGTGTGAGTGTGTGTATACGTATGCATGCATCACAGGTTTTTGAACGCGTTTAATATTTTTGAAGTGAAACAACAACAGAACCAGCTTGCAATGGAGATTTATTCTCATGAATCTTCTAGTAAATAATAGTAATAATAATAACAACAAAATAATAAAAATATAATTCGGCTGTATTATTTTTTTATTATTAATTCAACTGTCAGATATACAAGGTACGGGAAGTGAAAGTCATACAACTTCAAAAGGATAAACAATAAAACCAAAAACATCAGCAATAATAATAACTAAAAATAATAATATGTATAATATGTGTGCGTGCATGTTTGTGTGCGTGCGTGTGTGTGCACATATATATGCACACATTCGTAAAATATAAAAATAGCATGACCCAATTATAATACAGCATTGCTTGCATTCTATTACTTCTAAATCAAGTTCAAGCCTGTCTGTCATTATTTATTTATTTTTTTTTTTTTAATTCAGCATCTTCACATCTCCATTTGCCATTCCCCGTGCTCTGTTTGAAGTCGCCAACAGGTGTGTATGAAATAGAAACAGGCAGGCGAACTAATTAAATAAAATTTAAATTAAGAGCAAATATAACCGCTGAAACATAAAAAACATTCGGAAATTCTGAAATTTCTCCTCCTTTATGCTTTCACACACATACACATGTACACACACATACATGACTCACATAGCTACATATATACATACATATACACGCACAAGATGTTATCCATCACACTCTCTCTCTCTCGCACTCTCCCTCTGTTTTATTGAGTAAATTTTTAAACCAAAAAACATAAAAACACTTATAATTATTATTTTTTGTGATCAGAAAATCAACAACAACATCATTATTATAGTTATATCACAAACGAACAAAAAACCAGATTAATTAATATAATATAATAGCCATTTAATTCTTATCTGTCATCTGTTTTGAAAATGTTTGATTGGAAAAATACTACCACTACTATCACTACCAACACAGCTACTACTACTACTATTATTACTAATACTACTATTACTACTACTGCTGTTGTTGTTGTTGGTGCTGATTTGTATGGTGTCAATGGTCTTAATCTTGGTAAGGTTGTTGAAGTTTCTAGTCGAAGATGTTGGTGATTTGATGTTGTTGTTGATGTTGTCGTTGAAGTGATGCTGTTGCATTGGTATTGATGTTGTCGTCAGAGACTGAGATTGCGTTAGTCTATCCAAAAGCGGATGTTGTTGTTGCTGTTGCGTCTGCTGTGGTTGTAGTAATGTTGTCGTCGAGGCAATTTGTTGAGGTTGTTGCTGTTGTTGCTGCGGTTGTTGCTGCAACGGAAGTAAAAATTGCAACAACTGTTGCGGAATCAATGGAGTGAGTTGTTGTGGTTGTTGCTGTGGATGTTGTGGTGGTGGTGGTTGCAAGATGTTAACATTTTGTTGTTGCTGATTGATAGGCAACAAGGACAACAAGCGTTGAAAGTTGGCATCAACATTGTTGTTTGTTGTGGTGCCAATTGTTGTTCGAGAAGCAGCAGCAGCAGCAAATGGATGACCGGGTGGTGGGGTTTGGACAAAATTTTGTGCCAGAGGTGGCGGTTGTGAAAGAAGTTGTTGGTTGAATGTTGTGCTGCCTAGAACTCTAAGCTGTTGCTGTGCATTGTTCTGTTGAAACAACTGCTGCAAAGAAGAGGTTGGTGGCAGTATCTGTGAGGTCTTTGAGAACTGACTACCGGTATAATAATTTAGGCTGATGGATGTTGAAGATTTCGTCGGACTAATTTCATCGAGGCTTTTCTCATCGAGGACAGGGGTGCTCGACCCATTATCCCCCATGAGGCCCTCATCATAGACAGGGGTGCCCCCAATTTCGTAGTTGCTTGTCTCGTAAGGGTAGTCGTCTAGACGGAAGTTGTTGTTTGTTTGTAAAGTTGTAGGAAGAAGGTTATTGTTGCTGCTAGCAAAGGTTTTGTTGATTAGCTTAGTTGTTGAAGTATTAGTTGTTGCTGCTGCAGTTGTTGCTGCAACATCATATTCACTTGATATGGAACTGCTTTTGATACGACACTGCCTTAGCATGTTCAGCGTGCTTGTGGTCTGGTTGAAATCCTCATTGAAAATTGTAGACTCTAGTTGCATATTATGTTGTTGTTGTTGCAGCGTTGGTTGTTGCCGCTGAATTATCAAATGTTGTTGCTGCTGAGGAAGTAGCAGAAGTGGCTGTTGTAGCTGCAGAGGCTGCTGGATGATTGGTGTCGTAGTTGTTGCGGTAACTACTGTCAATACTGATGGATTTGTTGGAATTAGAGTCGGCTGCAAGTGCAACACTCGTTGTTGTTGTCGCTGCTGCTGATGTTGTTGTTGTTGCAATTGTTGCAACTCGTGTAAATTAAGCTGTTGTTGTTGTTGTGGCTGCAAAAATTGCTGCTGTTGTGGCTGCACAAGTTGCTGCTGTTGTGGCTGCAAAAGTTGAATTGCAGGCATTGGAGGTGGAAGCAAAGGTGGCAAATCAGAAAATGCTGCCGACATGACAGGGGGTGGTTGGGGTGGAGGGGCATCAGGGGGCAAAGGAGGAGGTGTCGGTGGTGGCAGTGGGGGAGGAGAGGGCTCAAATTTACCTTCAAAATCATCATCACTGATAGATTTGTTACTGTTGATAGTATAACTTCTATTTTTTCTGTCGAAAGGATGTCTGCTTCTAGTGCCGCCTCTAATGGAACTGTTGCCGTTAGCATGATCACCATCCTCATCATCGTCCTTCAGAGTGAGGATGATCTTTTTCTTCTTCCTAGCTGCAGTTGCTGCTGTCTTAGTCGCCATCCCTGACGCGTCCTGATTTTGTTGATTAGGCACAAGGACGTCTAGAATTTTCTTTCGAGTTTGATTCAAGTTGTTGTGAAGTTTCTTATATGCCTGTGTGTGTGTGTGAATGTATGTGTGTGTGTGAACGTATGTGCGTGTGTGTGAATGTATGTATGTGTGTGTGTGTGTGTGTGTGTGTGTGTGTGTGTGTAAGTATTCATTCATTCATATTGATGATTGATTGAATATGTATTTCAGACAAAAAAATGACCGTGGTGACGATGTTGCACTCTCCCAGCTGTGCATCATAGAAGAGTTCGCTCTGTTCCAGCATCAGCAGAAGAGATGACCTCTGTGACATTTCACTCTCAATCAAGGTCACTAACGTCTTGTATTTTTCCTGAAGGTCACAGACCTCATTGACGTACCTCTCGCCCTGCTGACGGTCTGAAATTGCGACGATGTGATGAAAATGATGGAGGTTACACACACAACACAGCAGATGATAGTCAATCATAGATTGCATTTTAATTCAAAATAATCTTCAAGAGTCTGTTTAAAACTATCAACAAGATGATCCAACTTCAAAAAAAAACAAGACAACTAACTATATAACCAGGCATAAAAATACAAGTTTATAAGGTATCAGATACATACCTTTTAGAGTTTGTTTAACTTTATCGATACTATCCTCATGCCAGGTATCATGTTCAAGTTGTATCATCGTATCAATGACAGCTGACTCTTGATCACTCATCAGCAATAATGATTTCATGAGGTTTTTAGGCCTAAAGTCAGCCAGTAGTTTTGAGCTGAGACTTGATTTGACTTTAGTGTTATCTGTGTGTGTTTGTATGCGTTTGTATGCACGAGTGTACATATTCATAAATATCTTGTATTTAAAAGGTTTTGTATCATAATTTTGTATGTGTATATGATTATTGTTTGTACATATATTCTATATATGGATGTGTGCTTGTTGAAATCCTTACTTAATGTAGCAATCAGTTCCTCAACAAACGGCTCATCATACACATTCCTCTCCATCCAGATTTTAAATATCCTTTCAACACTCTGCCGAACAGATGGGTCTCTATTTATTGTAGTGATAATGAAAAAAAAAATTAATTTATTTAAACTGGAATGATCATAGCATGTAAAAATAAACTCAAATTGAATAAATAGATATGAATCACGTACTTAGAGATATCACAAAAAACATGTTTTATATATATTATTTATAAATTATATATTATCATCATATTATAAAAATGTTAGCTAAAGATGTATTAGTAATAGTAACATAACAAAAAGTAACAAAGAAACATATAAAGATAACTACATCCCAATAACATTGGCATAAGTGATATAGAGTAACATAGTGCCATAGTAACACAGTAACATAGTATCATAGTAACATAACAAAGCACTAAACAACCAGCTAGCTAACCTGACAAGCAAAGCAGAATCTTTGAGTACATTCTTAAATTCATCCTTGAATATGACAGCATGCTTTCTCCTACATGTCTGTACAATCTCATTACACAAGTAGAACAATGATAGCCTCAGTTCTAGTTTTGCTATTTTGTCAGAAGTATTAATTTTCTATTTATTGATAATTAATTTTAGAATAGATAAATTATTTTATTTTATACACAAGAAATTTTGAAATTAAATTATACACTGAGATATGTAATTACCCATTATTTATTTACCTTATTTTAGGGTTGGAATTAATTAATCTAGTAGTAATTAGTTAGATTTAGGTTACATATTTAATGAAAATAAACTTTAAAACTTTATTTCATATAGATATGCTATAATAAAATATACATACACAGATGCACATATGACATATATGATATATCATGTATTGAATTGAATATATCATTATTCTTCATATATAATAAATAGAGTATTATATTATATGATGATGTGGGAAATGGAATAATTACCAAAACAGAACTACTGTTTTGATGGTTGTTTTAAAAAAATTTAATATCAATTCAATCAAATAAAAATTATTAATTAAAACATTAAGCTGATTTAAAGTGTTTAAAATGAAATGTTAAATATACTTATATTATACATACATAACTAAAAAAAATGCACTAAGATTGCATGTAGAGAAGAACAGAATAGAATACCATGTTGTACATGTAGAATAGCTTGCAGTTTGTCAGACAACAAAACGATTTTACCACTTAACTATTATTTAATTATTCAAATTCATACTTAATTAATATTTATTTATACTCATTCATATTCATATTGACACCAACCTGTCTTAAGGACTTGAAACCAAACTGCCACTATCAATTCATGTTGAGTTTTGTGATTCAGTGCCCATAGCGACAGTGTTTGAATGCTTTCAAGAGAATTACTGACACTCTGCAGCTTTTTAGAAATGTACGAGGGGTCCAACTGACCACTAATTGTGGACATAATTATTTGAAATAGCGTACCGGTATACCAATTACGAACTTTAATTAAAAATTAAACACAAGACATTCGCCATGTTGAAAGATGTGTGAAAAAAGATGAACTTTATATTTTTATAAAATTGTTTAAATGTTTAAAATAAAACTTTTGAAATAATGTTTAATTTAAATTAAAAATTTTAAGATCAAAAAATGAAATTTTGAAATTTAATGCTAATTTCACAATTAAAACTCTACATAAGTTAACGTTTTAAACACTACCGTATCGCACTAGCTTAATAGTCGTTTGTTTTCTTTTTGTAATAACTGATTTTTAAATTTTCGTTGAATTTTCTTTACAAAAAAAATGAACAGTGCAATGAATCATCGGAAAATTAATTTTTCTTTATAAATATTTAAGATCTATTTATACATTTTACTTACAACATCTGATTTTTAACGCTCTTGATAAGAGGTGCAACTGACATACAACCACTAACTAACGCATTTCAACCATTGTGATGTGAACACCAAACTGAGTACACGGAAGAACAAAAAAACTACATAATTGTTTCATATTTTATCAACATTTAAATAAAATGGCAAAATCGCAGTGGGCCACGTTTAAAACGCTCTTCAATATCTTCTGCTGCCCTCCAATCCCCTCCCGTATTACTAATAAACTTGCTTTTGTGCCCCCAGATCCGACGTACGTCTTATTGGACCACCCTGACGGCCAAGGAAAAATATTTCGGCCGCTAGAGTCAGCAGAGTGGCAGTTTGGCTCGTCGGAGTTGGAGAACATTGAGGCATTCAGTTGTACAACCAAAAATAAAGAATCCATTTACGGTATTCTTATCAAACCAAGGAAGAAACGAAGCTTCTACAATGAGTATGATGAAGTTTAATTAATTATATTACATTATGAATGTTATTAATTATATTATATTATTTGTTATATTATTAATTATATTATAAATAAATCTTATAATAATAATAATAATAATAGTTTATATCATATTTATTAACCTCACTATACAATACATAATAATAATTGAAATATGTACATGCAATGAAAAGCATATAATAACATACAAACATGCCCAGAAATGCAACTATATACTGCAAAATTTAGGTAGATTACTCGATATACAATGTGCATCTATACCCAAATTCTTATGTCCATTTAATTAAATGACATATTTATTTATACATAGAAACAAATAATGTTCATAGAAATTTAATTACATATTTTTTACCTATATTTATATACATTCATTATTCCATTCATGCAGACTACCAAAATACAACAACCTCACAAACATTTGATTATATTACAAGTGATGTACGTGTGTAATAACTTCAGTTTTATCCTTGATTAGGAAGAACTCCTACAAGTACACGATAATGTTTAGTCATGGCAACGCAGTCGACCTCGGCCAGATGAGTAGCTTCTTAACGTACCTTGCTAATGAACTCAAGTGCAACATATTCTGCTATGATTATTCTGGTTACTATTATTATGTAATATATATATCAAAATTTATAAATTCAAAATTTAAATGAAATGGATACAACTGATTGCCTAATTTGGCACAAAAAATTGATGGCAAAGAAAACAACGTCCTACCTCGGGGGAACTGGGTCTTTGGATTGGATGCTAAACGAAGATTGATTGATTGATATATATCTATATAACCTTCATTAATAATATATTAATTTATGCAGGTTATGGGGCTAGCAGTGGTAGGCCTAGCGAATCGAATTTGTATGCTGATGCTGAAGCTGCTTTTGAATGTCTTCTTCAAAGGTCCTGTGAGAGTTCTTTTTCATTGTTATTACCATTATTCCTGTTATTTTTGTTGATATTACTGTTGTCCTTCTTGCTATTATTATTATTATTCTCAATCTCTTTTACACTACACCGCAGGGCTATGCTAAAGCCAGAGGAGGTCATCCTATACGGACAGAGCATAGGTACAGTGCCGACAATTGACCTTGCCACCAAGGTCAAGTGCGCCGGGGTCATCCTACACTGCCCACTCATGTCTGGGATGAGGATTGCATTCCCCAAAACTAAGGATACATGGTTTTTTGATTCATTTCCAAGGTAATTTTCTCTCTCTCTCTCTCTCTCTCTCTCTCTCTCTCTCTCTCTCTCTCCCTCTTACTTTTTTCCTGTCTTCTTATTTATATGCACATACAGACTGGTTTGGGTATATCTAAATATTATCACCATTAATCACTAATTAACAAATATTGGAATGCATCATTAATATATGAATATATTTCAAATATATTTCATTCACCAATTCCCTAATTCACTATTTGACAACCCCACCCCCACCTATTCAGCATTGACAAAGCCAAAAACATTGAGTCCCCAGTCCTCGTCATCCACGGCACAGACGATGAAGTCATCAACATTTGTCACGGGCAGAACATTTTCAAACAGTGCCCTAAGACCGTGGACCCCCTCTGGGTTCCCGGTGCTGGCCACAACGACATCGAAATGTACCCCATCTACATTGAAAGGTTGCATAAGTTTATTGAGCAAGATTTACCATACAGCTGATTGGCTTGCTAGTTGGGCTATGCGTGTTAACTACATTTCGATTGGATAATCGATTGGTTGGTTGAGTAGTTCATTGGTCCATTGATTGACTGATTGGATGGTTGATTGATTGATTGGTTGCCTGATTGATTGGTTGGTTGTTTGAAATGTTCATGATTTACCTATCAGCTGGTCATTGTATTTTTTATAGTAATTGAACATTATAATTGACTTGCTAGCTAGTAAGTTAGGTGGTCGGTTTCTGTTTGGTTTGATTGATTGGTTGATTGATTGATTGATTGTATCTGTATGTATCTGTTTGTATGCTGCTTGCATACTATCTAGTTAGTGTGTTTGTATGTAGTTATTATTGGTAGAAATTATTTACTTCTCAATTATCAAATACTCGTTTCCACAATAATTTCGTTCTTTTATTATACCATAATAATAATAATAATAAATGTTATTTTTATTATTTTTGTTTTTATTTATTTATTCAGTATTTTTTTTGGCAACTTGTAGTATTATTTGTGTTATCATCATCAAACATTGTACAAACAAAAATATTTTAAGAGTTGGGTTAAATTTTGTGCTGCTAAATAACTTTATATATTTCCTTTATTTGACTATTTATTCAATCATTTGCCCGTTCGTTCATTCATTCATTCATTCATTCATTCATTCATTCATTCATTCACCCATTCATTCATTCTATAATTTCGTTAATCCGTTTATTTATTAATTTTTTCATTAAAGAATTTATTCTTTTGTTCGTTCATTCATTCATCATTCATTTCATCTATTCATTCATTCATTAATTCATTCATTCATTCATTCATTTATCATTTATATACGCTAATGATCAAGTATTTTTATATGCATTGTTTAATAATAATAATAATTATAATTATTATTATCATCATCTTTGTTCTAATTATGGTTATTATGACGCAGAAATGGAAAGTTTCCCTGCTATTATATGCATGACATTTTCTTTCTTTTTCCAGTATTTGCAAACACATTGGCACTAACATACACATACTTACACACAAACAAACACACACACACACGCACACAGAGTATAGTTATCGCTCTTTTTCAAACATGTATTTACATATATGTGTGTATATTTCAATTCCTAATTTCCAAATTTTACTCAGGCAATTTTATACATTCAAACACACACAAACACACATATGTACAAACAAACACACACGTATAAACAAATACACACGCACGTACAAGCAAACACACATACGTACAAACAAACACACATACACATTTGCACTGACTCTCACACACACGGGCAAGCGCAAGTTAGATTTAACAAAATACATACACACACTTAATAAAAACATACACACACATACATATATATATATATACGCACGAACAATATACTATACTAACTCGTTACTACATATCTATAAAATCACATACACAAACACATTCACTCACACGTATATATATATATATATATATATATATATATATATATATCTTTATCTTTACAAGAGTTTAATCACGATGGTTTATTATTTACAGTTTTGAAATAATTGAGCCAATGTATTTTATAATAATTACTGCAACTTTTTGTGTTTATTTTTTGTGTTTATTTTCCACACACACACACACACACACACACACACACACACACACACACACACACACACACATTCATCTCACAAACAACATACGTATAATTATTATTGCCTCTTAAACATTTTAATAATTGTAATATAGATATGTAATATTTTCTTATGTGAGTAATTCATAATTTTTTCTTAAAAAATTATTAACGTATATACATACTTTCATATCATCATTCTACATTATATTTGTATTCATATAATCTGCTTTTATTTTTTAAGTATATAAAAAAATGAATGAATATCCTTATTTAGGAATTATTTTAAATTGTAAAATGTATGAAGATGGATGTTTGTTTGTTTGTGTTAGCGTGTATATGTGTCTGCAAGTCTGTCTGTCTGTCCGTTTTCTGTCTGTCTGTCTGTCTGTCTGTCTGTCTGTCTGTCTGTCTGTCTTGGCATATGTGTGTGTGCTAACCTATTTAAAGTTTGTTTTCTAGTAAAAAAAAATCGAAAAGGCAAACTTTGAATTAGTTAATTAATGCCAACAATTCGGCAGAATCATCCTATGTTGAATCAAGATGTATGGGCGAAATCCATATACAATATTATATTATATTCTTTTTATTTCTATTTGGTATTGGTTTGACGTTAATTCATTTATGAATTTTTTTCGCTTTAATAAAGATTTTTAATTTTTAAATATTTGGCCCCAAAACATTATGTTAACCAACACAAAAACACACACATACATACATATGTTTATACACACGTGCACACATACATACGTATATATACATACACGCACACACACATACATACAGCTTCATATAAGAAGAAATTTATTAATTCATTAACATTCAATTTTTAACAGATGAAAAGAGGGGAAAATATTGGATCTTGTTTTTATTCTGTTTATAAAATAATAATAGTTATAATTATATAGATAATTATTATAATTAGAGTTTTTCTAGCGCCGTATTATCTTTCAGCAGAGTTCAGAAATTTAAAATTTAAATTAGAAATATGATAGTCTATTGATGATTACTCTGTGTCTGTCTGTGCGTGTGCATGTGTGCGTGTGTGTATGTTGTGGTGAGTGTGTGTGTGACTATGGTGGTGGTATAAGCGATATTTGTGTGTATGTTCTCCTCTAAGAAATACCTGATTGCCAAGCCAAGTGGAAGAATCTGGTTTTCGGTATCACTTTCGTCTCATGACATTTTGCGCTCTGCCACGTTCACATTACCAACCAGGTTAACGTATCAAACTCTGTAAAACAATTAGCGAATTAAGTTAGAGTGTAGTGTTTAGTTACCAAATTAATTAATCACCTAATTATTTAATTAATTACCCAATTAGTTAATCACCCAATTAGTTTTATGTACGGCATTGTAGTTGGATTAATTATCGGTTAAATCGTTCGACTGTTTGTGCACCGATACTTCTAGCATACCGGATCGAATTACGGTTGATTTTTTATGCATACAAAAAGTACGCAAATACACAAACGTTGATATACGCATACACACACTATATATATAGTGTATAGCATCTCATCTTAATTCATCTTAATGTGACAAGCTATTTAAAATGACAGGAAAAAATTAAGTTAATTGATTTGATAATTTTCGCGATGAGTAATGAGAATGTAGTTAATTGCGCGGGCTATGATGACGCCACGAAAAGTAGAGATGTGCAAGGCGGTGTATCAGTCGGTATTTCTATCGACAGGCCGACTTTGACCGATTCCCAATTAGAGCTCGTTTTACGGGAGGAGGATAAAATAATTGACGGAGACGATGATGCTGAGGCCAAAGTAGCTTGTGAGTTTCCTCTGAAGAAGCAAATGTGTGGAAGGGAGCGTCTCAAGGAAGTGATGACAGGTAAGTGGTGTGAGGAAGAAAGAGATGATGATTGGTCGTGATGATGATGACGCTAATGATGAGTGGCGGCAAAGTTTACATTTTTGATGGCTATATTTTACTCTTTGTTGTTTTTTTCGTTTTTATTTATATTTTTATCTCTCTCTCTCTTTCTCTCTTTCTCTCTCTTTCTCTCTCTCTTCTCTTTCTCTCCCATAATTATTTTTCCCCTCCAGGTAGCTTCCCAATAGTTGGATACATGCGAGAATATAAATGGCGTCAATGGTTGCTGAATGACGTCATGGCGGGGATCAGTGTTGGCTTCCTACATCTACCTCAGGGACTCGGTTTTGCCTTGCTGGCAGGCGTTCCGGCGGTTCTTGGGCTTTACTCGTCGATTATACCGGTATGGTTGTATTTTGTATTCGGCTCATCACGACACATCTCAGTCGGTACGATGGCTGTGACCGCTCTTTTGGTCGGGTCTTATGTGAATAAGTTTGAGTATGGGGTAGATAGGGAGTTGCCGTTAGGGGCTGGAGCGCATAATTCGAGTGGTGGTAACTTCTCCGGGGACAATCACATCATCGCCAACGACGATAAGAGATTAGAGCAAGATCATCAGCGAATGAACGCGGCATCACTGATAACACTAACGGTCGGTTGTTTGCAGTTGCTGATGTGGGGGGCACGCATGGGTATCATGTCATCTTATATGTCAAGGCCATTCGTCAAGAGTTTCATAACGGGCGCCGTGGTACATATCATAGCTAATCAGGTTCAGTTTGAAATTTATATTAAATTTAAATTACAATACTAATTATAGCATGCTCGCATTCTTATTATTAGCTTCCGTTTCAGTTGGGATACCAAGTCAAAAAAAGCTCCGGTTCTTTCCAACTGCCGATAAATTTTTACCGAATAATGTCGAATATAAGCGAGACGAACGTAGCATCACTGGTTACATCAATCATTTGCATGGCTTTCCTGCTGTCCATCAAATATTTCTCCACGCGTGAGGTAGCAAAAAAATTGAAATTTCCAATTCCTGGAGAGTTGATAACGGTTCTGGCGGGAACTTTGGTATCGTATGTAGTCGGGTTTGAAGGCAGATTTGATGTCAAAGTTTGTGATGGATTCATTTTTCAAATTTAAATTTGTAAAATTTTTGAAATTAGTTTGATTTCTTAAACGAAAAATGTATTTTCATTGTTAAGATAATCGATAAAATTATTATTAAGATAATCGGTATAATACCGGAAGGATTACCGAAACCGCATCTGCCATCCCTGTCTCTCTTGCCATCCAAAGCTGACTCGTCGATGCTGTTAATCATCGATTTATTGGTACAAGCTCTCCCGATAGCAATCGTTTGCTACGCTCTCAACATAACGATGGCCAAGTTGATGTCGGATAAATACGATTATTCGGTCGATTCCAACCAGGAAATGCTCGCTATCGGCATAGCTAATACCGTATCTCCATTTTTTGGATGCTTTGTAGCCTGTCAGGTAATTAAAAAACCAACATTCTTCATTTGTTATCATGTTCATGAATTAACAACTTGTGTCAATAATTTTATAAAAACAATTCAATTAAACGTCAGATCTTTATGTCAATATTTATCAGGCCCATTCCAGAACCTTAGTGAACGAATCATGTGCTGGAAAGAGTCCTCTATCCAGTTTCATTTCTACGCTCGTTCCGTTACTCGTCATATCCGGAACCGGATTTCTATTCGCAACTTTACCGATCTGTGTGTTGGGAAGTGTGGTCAGTGCGTCTCTCACGCCGCTTCTCATTAGCGAGTCTATCGAGTTCGTCGCGTTGTGGCGAGTCTGCAGGAGGGATTGCGTGGTGTGGGTCTTTTGTTTCCTAAGTACCGTCTTCATAAATGTCGATGTCGGTTTAGTTGTCGGTATCGTCGGAAGTGGTATTGCCATCTTAGTAGAAACCAGACGTGGGAGGTTGATGTTGATGAGGAATGTTACAAATACCGAGCTATTCGTTGAGGAGGGATTTGTTGGTGCTGGCGGTTTCGTGAAGGGCAGAAGCGCACCTCGTACGGTTTTAAAGAAGAATAAAACTTCAACAACAACAACGTCAAAAATCAACAAACCAGTAAGCAAGAACACCGACGGCAAGCCAATAAACAACAACAACAACAAAAACAACAATCAGATGTTTGAAAAGTACAACATTGACAAAGACACGGCGATATTTCGCCTGCACGGCTCCATAATCTTCTCGAACTGTGACACATTCAAAGAACAATTGCTTCAATCAATCCAATTCACCCTGCTAAGCCAACCAAAATTTGCTAACAAACTGCAAATCTCACAACTATTACCTGAACCACTAATACTATCATCAGCATCGCCATTATCTTCATCACCACTATCATCATCAGCATCACCGGAAGTAAAACAACAAGGAGAACCGAACCGGAAACACGCCATATTGGATTTTTCAAGAGTTTCCGACATAGACGCAACTGGACTTAACATCTTTAAAAACTGTGTCCGAAAGATTAACAACATGGGTGTTGACCTTTCGTTGTGTTGTTGCTCTAGAAAGGTCAAACGAAAGTTGTCGGCCGGAGATCTCTTCCTAGGTCAGGGTCAGGATCAAAGTCAGGGTCAAAGTCAAGGTCAGCATCCTCATCACTGCCAACTGAAGCTCTATCCATCCGTCATTGACGCCGTGCTTGCTATATCCTGCCACATAAGCAACAACAACAGTAATAATAATAACAACCACAATAATAATAATAACAATAATAACATTAATAATAATAATTATTATAACAGTAATAACGTTATTTAGTGCTGTAATAATAATAATAATAATAAAAGTTATATCAATAAAAGTGATTTTTTCTATTGAATTTATATTTGGTTAGAGTAGTATAAGTAGTAGTAGTAGTAATAATAGTCATAGTAGTAGTAGTAGTAGTAGTAGCAGTAGTAGTAGTAGTAGTAGTAGTAGTAGTAGTAGTAGTAGTGTAGTAGTAGTGTAGTAGTAGTAGTAGTAGTAGTAGTAGTAGTAGTAGTTGTTGTTGTTGTAGTAGTAGTTGCAGAAGCAGTTTTGCGATTGTCATCAGTCAATCAAATAGTTTATTTCATTTCATTTTCTTAATTTAATGCGAATGACCTGAAGAAAGATATGGTAATAATAATAATAATAACAATAATAATAATAACACAAATAATAGTAGTAATAATAATAAAAAGTTCAACATCGTCATTAGCCAACTAAACAACGACATAAATAACTTGGCGACAACAACTTTAACAATAAGTCAGTTAATGCAACAGTATATTTGCCCTAAGATAGTGGTACAAATCTATACAAATAAATATATATATGTATATATATATATATAGAGAGAGAGAGAGAGAGATAGAGAGAGAGAGAGAGAGAGAGAGTAAACCAGCATTAAAACCATTACAATTGCTGATAGGTTCATGCGTGCATGTTACACGGTAGTGTGAAAAGAAGAGATTTTTCGATAACTAACTTAAATGGAATAAAGCCGATTATGTCGATTAAAATTGAGAATATCGGTATTGTAGAATTGGAAAATGACGTCACAGCTACTGGCAAAAGTGGTGCTGACGTAGTAACTGGCAGTAGGGATGGGCGAAATAATCGGGAGAAATCGATTGATATCGTAATCGAGAGAGATGCGCTGAGCGAATCCGAGTTGGAAATTCGCGAAAAGTTTGAAAGACGCGACGAGGGTGACGACGGTGCTGATAATAGTCGTGGTTGCCGGTGTTTTAAAAGTAAACTTTGCCAAAAACGTTGTAAGTTCAGTAAAAGTTGTCTGTGGAGGCATTTTGTCAGTAAGTTATATTAAAAAAAGCTTCATTTTATTTTCATTATTAATTTTGAATTACTCTTATTATTATTTTGAAAATTCGCTAAAATTTATATTTAAACGGTTTAAAAAAATATTATATTGAAAATACTAATATTACTACAGCCGCTGGCACAGCTACTACTACAGCTACTACCACTGCTGCTACTACTACTACTGTTAATTCTATTACTGCGACGATAACAATAACAATGATTGCAACAGAGCCTCAATGAGCCGCTTGACATTGTTGTCTTTATGCGAACTATAATATAATAAATAATAATAATATTTTATTATTTCTCTTTCTCTCTCTCTCTCTCTCTCTTTATCTTTTCTTATTATTCTTATTATCCATTATTATAATTAATAGTAAGAATAATGATATAACAAAATGATAATAATAACAGTGACGGTTATAAGTGAATAACATTAATAAGTTCTGAAGAGCAATTTTCTGTTATCCGAAATATTTTACTCTCTCTCTCTCTCTCTCTCTCTCTCTCTCTCTCTCTCTCTCTCTCTCTTTCTCTCTCTCTTTCTCTTTTTCTGTCTCTCTTTCTCTCTCTCTCTCTCTCTCCACCACCTTTCCTAAAATACATCCATCAACTTAGGTAGTTTTCCTGTGATCGGCAATATGAGAGGTTACAAGTGGAGACAGTGGTTACTGAATGACGTGATGGCAGGTGTGAGTGTGGGCTTCATTCATCTGCCCCAGGGGCTAGCTTTCTCCCTATTGGCTGGTCTGTTTGTGTGGTTGTGGGGTTTTTGTGGCTGTGGTCTTTGTGGCTGTGGTCTTTGTGGCTGTGGTTTTTGTGGCTGTGGTTTTTGTGGCTGTGGTTTTTAGCAGTTGTGTTTCTTGAAGTTTACCGTGAAGATTTTATTGATATTTTATGATCAAAAAACGTTGAATTAATTTATGACATTAACAAAAAAATTACTTACCTAATTAATTAATTAATCCATTCAACTATACAATTATTTAATCATTCATTCATTCATTCGAAATTTTTGTACGGCTCAACACAGATTACAAAAACATTCAAACGAACAACTGAAAAAAACCGGACGGATCCAACCGAATATTCATCATCATCGTCGTCGTCATCACCTTCATCATGACCATCATTATCCGACAGGTGTGCCAGCGGTTTTAGGGCTGTACTCGTCGATAATACCGGCTTGGCTTTATTTCATATTCGGTACGTCACAACACAACTCGGTCGGTACAATGGCAGTCATGGCCCTGATGGTCGGCTCGTACGTAAACAAATTCGAGTATGACGTCACTGGTGATGTCACGAGTCGTTTAGATATGAGTAATTTTAGTAACCGTTCATCAGATGGCGTATGGGCTAATGATACGATATCAAAAATTCATAGCGAGATCATTGGTGGAGTAAGAAGTGAGATTAACGCCAGCAAAAACAACACAAACAACATCGGCAACATAAACAACAGTCTTATATACATCAACAACAACAACGACAGTACCAGTAACGACGACAACAACAACAACATCATCATCATCGCCAACAACAACAACAACAACATTAGCAACAGCGTAGAAAACGAGCAACGAATGAACGCCGCAACCTTGATAACACTGACGGTCGGCTGCTTACAGCTGCTGATGTGGATGGGTCGGTTGGGGGTCATGTCATCCTACATGTCAAGGCCTTTTGTCAAGAGTTTCATCGCAGGAGCTGCCGTTCATATCATTATTAATCAGGTTTGTATGCTCAAAAATTCATGTACTGTACGAGCGTATTTTTCTTCTCCCTAATTTTTACTCTCTCTCTATCTCTCTCTCTCTCTCTCTCTCTCTCTCTCTTTCTTTCTTCCTCTCTTTTTCTCTCTCATATACACAAATATCAGCACACACCTGCGCGCGCACTCACACACACACAGATATACACAATAACGTAAACACAAACTCAGCTACCATTGCAGTTCGGCTATCCGGTAAAGAGAACATCCGGTTCTTTCCAGCTACCGATCAACTTCTATCGAATACTATCGAGTATTACCGAAACTAATGTAGCATCTTTGCTGACTTCAATCATTTGCATGAGTTTCCTACTGTCGCTGAAATTTTTTTGCACTCGGAAGGTGGCGAATAAGCTGAAGTTTCCAATTCCTGGAGAGTTGATAGTTGTGCTAGTTGGGACGATGGTGTCTTACTTGGCAGCCTTCGAGGCCAGGTTCCACCTTAAGGTTTGTTTCGCGATTGAAATTAAGCATTTATTTTAATACAATAACGAAAAACGTTTTTCTAATCCAGATAATCGGAGCAATACCCGGAGGATTACCGAAGCCACACCTGCCATCTCTCTCTCTCCTGCCATCTACTGAGCTGGAAAAAACTACAACCCTGATTTTAATAGCTGATTTAGTTAGGCAAGCCATCCCGATAGCAATCGTTTGCTACGCTCTCAACATAACGATGGCCAAGTTGATGTCGGATAAACACGACTATCCGGTCGATCCCAACCAGGAAATACTCGCCATCGGTATTGTCAATACTGTTTCTCCGTTTTTCGGATGTTTTGTGTCATCTCAGGTTTAAAGAACGTTTTGATATTGTAATTTAGAAATATGTAGTGTGCTGAATTTTTAGTAGTTGTAACTTTTGAAATAATTTTTCATGTTAATAACTAACACAAAATGAAGTGAAATTGTGTTGTTGCATTACGAGCAGGCACCTCCACGTACACTGGTCATCGACTCAAGTGAAGGAAAAAGCTCACTAGCTAGTTTGATATCGACTCTCATTCCGGTACTCGTCATATCCGGAACCGGATTTCTATTCACGACGTTACCGATCTGCGTGCTGGGAAGTGTGGTCAGCGCATCCCTGATGCCGTTATTGGTGACAGAATGTATCGAGTTTTCCGGTTTATGGCGCGTTTGTAGAAGAGACTACGTGGTGTGGGTGTTCTGTTTCGTCAGTACCGTTCTTTTAAACGTTGACATCGGTCTAATTGTCGGTATTATCGGTAGTGGTTTTGCAATTTTACTCGAAACTAGACACGGGAGGTTGATGTCGATGAGGAATGTTGCAAACACCGAACTATTCGTTGAGGATGTTCACTATGGGAGCAGTTCTTTCGGTACTACCAGCAGCAGATGTAACAACCTGAAAAACAAAGATGAAACTAACAAAAGCACAAATAACCAAAACGAAAAAAAACAAAACAACAAACTGGACAACAATGACGACAACAAAAAGATTGATTTGCAGCACGGCAGACAGCAGTCCGATGGCCATCTCTCGACCAAAAACATCGCCGTGTTTCGTTCTCACGGATCGATCATTTTCTCCAATGCCGACTTATTCAAAGAGCAATTGCTAAAATCAATACAGGTAAGGTTCTCAGTGGAACCAAACAATTCAACAAAACGAGGAACTTCAAACCAATCTCGCAAACTACTAACGACCACAACAACCACAACCACACAACCACCATCGTCATCATCATTGTCGTCCTCTTCGTCATCCTTACCACCAACGTTCGCAGACACTCGCAGCCGGAAGTTCGCCATCTTGGATTTTTCCAGAGTATCTGACATAGATACTACGGGACTGAACGTGATGAAAGATTGCTTCAAAAAGGTCAATTCTATGGGTGTTGACCTTTGCTTGTGTTGCTGCAGTGGAAAGGTCAAACGGAAATTGAAAGCCGGTGGTCTGTTTTCCGGTCAGGACCCTAGCCAGCTACTGATTTGCCCGTCCCTTATTGACGCCATGGTGAAGGCGAGTAAGAAGCTAAGAGATGAGGATGAAGACGAAGATGAGGTCTTTAAAAAGTGATGACGATGACGATGACTAAGATGATCAACATGACGACGATGATTAATTTGATTATAAGAATGGTGGGGACTGATATTATGATGACGTTGATTTTGCTTCATGATGGTGATAAATGGAGATGATGATAATTAAAGGATAACAACGATAAACTCGATTTTTGTGAAAGATGGTGACGACGACGACGATGTTGAGGACGCACTCACTCGCGTTGGTTATTATTATTTATGACTGACTTAACGAACGAAATTCTCTTTATGTGGGGAATAACGCTCAATAAAAGCCGAAAAATAAAAGGCAAGGTTATTTTTTGGTGGGTCTCTCTCTCTCTCACACACACACACACACACACACACACACACACACACACACACACACACACACACACACACACACACACACACACACAACGCGAAAACATGCATGCATTCGTTCATTGTTGAATAAAAGAAGATCATTTCATTCATTCGTTCACACACATTCATAAGTATTTATCAATAATAAATTATAAGCATTACATTGTTTTCATTATATATGTTAGGGTTAGGGTCGCCCAAAAACGACACACAGACACACATGTTGAATATTAATAACATCAATAATAATAAAAACAATAATATATATATATATATATATATAATTATAACTATATATATGTATATATATGGATGGATATATGCATATGTATAAGTTTGTATAGTATATATGGTATTGATTCGTATACCCACACTTATATGCAAATAACACATGATGTTAATCAGTATGTTTGTGTAAAAAAGAGAGAAAGAGAGAGAGTAATAAAAAGTAAGAAATAGAGTGTGTGTTTGTGTGTTTGCAATGCAGAGAGTTAGAGTTAAGAAGAGAGAGAGAGAGAGAAAGTGAAAGTAACAGAAAGAGAGAGAGAAAGAAAGAGAGAAAATGATGATGAAGAGTGAGAGTAAACGCGAATTTAAGGGAAATAATTCTTCATATTTGATATTTTCAGTTCTATGGATGTTTGTTTGCTTTATATTCAATATTATATATATATATATATATATATATATACAAACACACATACACACACACATACACACACACAAACACACACACACATTTATATATATATATATAAATTAACAGCTTTAACTTTTGCGTTTGTAAATTCTTGCAACAATTCTTGTCATTTTAATTAAGAATGATGATGAGGATGATGATGATGACGTAGTTAATAATAACAACAACAATAATAACAATAATATTTAATATTCATTATTAAAACAACAGTAATAATAATAACCAATAACAATAATAATAATAACCAGAAACAACAAAAATAATAATAATCGGTTTTGGTAATGCGCTCTTCTTGTGATTTAGTTGTAAGGAAATTTTCTGCGTTTTAAACTGACCACCGTCTGGATTGTTACATAAATAAAATAAATAAAAAATAAATAAACAATAATAATAATAAATAATAATATTAATAATAATATGATGAAATAATTTTAATAATAGTTAATAATAACAACTCGGTAGGACAGGTTGTTGTATGTTCTTCTATTCTGCTTAGTTTTCAATTTAATTTTCAATTAGAGTGTAATTTATGAACTATGTTCATTAATAATTGAAAGAAAAATTAAAAAAAAGTTGTTGGAGATGATGATAATGATGTTGTTGTTGTTGTGGTTGATGATGATGATGATAATTAAATAATAATAATAACAATTAGTTATATTGATTATTGAAGATTTGCATAATAAAAATAATATGACTGTTGCTGATATTTATTCAGATGATATATATAGATAGATACTAAACAAAACACACATAGACACCAAACAAAGACTCACATACACACACACACAAACACACATGCACACACACAGACACACACATAAAAACACACACATATCTACCGTAATAATAAATAATATTTTTAATATAAATACATCGT